ATATCACCCTCCAACCGGTCCTCCAGAAGAGCACACAGATCGCAACCCTCATTGAAGAGGGTTTTGCAGACAGACATGATGCCATCTGCCCTCCTCCAATCGGATCCGACCCTCCTCCAGCTCCCAGATGATCTCCAGCATGTCCTCACTTTTATCCTTCAGCCAACCAGCCAGAGAAATTGCTCCCCCTTCGACCTCTGGCTCCGTTTGCAGCCGCAAAGACATGTCTTGCACAATCTCTTGTAACCATTCGGTTCGTGATTTTGCCGTCTTGAATGTTGCCACTTATCTGTCGTTCTGTGCCGCAGCTCTGGTTTGAGAGCCCCATGCTGCCTGCCTCTCTCCCCTCCTCAAAGGTCCAGCCCACTCCCTCCTCTCAACCCTGGACAAGCTCGTGTCTTTGTTGCTCGAGCTAACCTGTGTAGCTCGACTGCTCCAAGACCCCCCTTTCCCGTGCTGCGCGCTCCGGGGCATGGCGGTTAAGCTCCATGCGGCTATGCACGAGGCACCGCGGCGCGGCTATGGCTAAATCCTAAGATCGTGCCGCTTGCGTCACGGGAGCAGAGCACTACGGCGCCGGCTACCCGCTTCGTCCCGAAATCCCCGCCCTGCTGCAGTTTTTTTTTTTTTTTTTTTTTTTGAAAATCCCTTGCGATATCCCCCTATCTTGGCGGTGGTAAGTGAACCGTAAGAATTGAGGGCTTATCTGTCAGGCTGCTCCATCTATTGGTGGGGAGCGACACCTACTGGAAACCGGGTCCAACATCCCATTAGATACATCAAGTAGCACAAAAAATGGTGTTTGTTGATTCCTAGGGCTGTGGTTATTGCTGACTTATCCCGGGCCACCAGTATCCCATGGAGCTGCTAGTGTCACCCTTCCCTTTTTAGAAGCCCCCTTGTCTATCACCCAAGCCCTATTTCAGCAGGCCCTCTGATAGGTTGTTGCTATTTCTGACCCTTTAGACCCTTAATATCCTAACCCCTTTTTTAAACAGTTTGTCGAAAACTAAACAATCATATGCAAAGCAGCCTCTTGAGCATTATTACTGTGTTTGTGTGTTTGTCCCTTCGCCTGAATTACCCTGGTGCAACAATCTACACCCTCCTCTGGGACGTCGATCTATCCCTCCTGAATCAGCCTAGCACTCTGCTACCCTGCTACCCCGCTACCCCCAAACAAATATAGGTCAAGGAGGCGTGTGTTGTAGTTAACGACCTACCATTTGCTGCTGCACAGTTGGCCAATACCATGACTCTGTTTTCCCATGGAGCAACCAAATTTTAAAGTCTTTAAAATCTTTAAAATCTTTAAACCTTTTAGCCTTATACCCTCTTAGAACCCATGCAGACGCCATACAAAACCCATGTATGCTACCATTAATGATTCTTGAAGACCGCAGCAACAAGGTCCTCCCTTGATGATGGTATCTTCTCTGGCGTTGATGTCTGTCACTTGATATTCAGACCTCCATTATCAAGCGGTCAGGGGAGTAGGGGCAGGCGGTGGGCCAAGCAGGGGTGGGCAATAGGGCGACTGTGGGGGGGGGTGAGGAGGTTGGTGGGCAGGCGGCTCAGGACTAGGAAGGAGGACGAAGTTGGGTTGGAGGAATGGGACTTGAAAGTCACAGAAGGGTTTCCTTTGCCAATCAGGTTTCATTCTCCTCCATGGTTTCCATCTGATACCGAGGGCAGTGTTAAGTTCCGAAAACAGTTTGTTAGGGTCCTGCCAAATCTGCATATAGGAGTCTCGAATGACATCCTTGATGAATGGGTCTTTCTCCTCAAAGAATTCACGCCTCATGCATTTCCAAGCTTCCTATTCCTGATCTGCTCTTCGACCGCTTTTTGCGCCTGCAGCAAGCAAATTGGTTGTTTTTTCTTTCAAATGAGCACCTGACTCTCCAAGCCAACATAAGGATTATGCATCCTTGTGTATGAAAAAAGGTTGGTCGCAAACGAGGACCAATGTGCCAATACGTGGCGGTTCTCTCGCAGCAGCAGAAGGCCTAGGTCCCAGGGGATATGATATCCAGTGAGGGAGTGAAAGGTCGCATCCCACCATTGCCATAGTTGGGTGACCATTGGGCACGCCAGTAAGCAATGTTCAAGAGTTGCTCTTGCCGGCGTGTGGGTTGTTTCACAATATGCACAGATGGGGGATAGTTTCCCTTGTTGTTCCAAGTTTGTCCTTGACACTAGCCAATCGGGAGTGAGGAGGCAGTGATGCAAGATCTGCCATTGCAAGGACCTATAGTTTGTGGGCATGATCTTCGCATACTTGGACCAGTCTAAAGATTATGACAATTCAAGTTCCAGCGGCGAGTCTCGAGCTCATCTGTTTGCTACCCTTTGGTTGATCGCCTGACTCGGCCGTGATGATCGGTATCCCCCTTTCACTGTGTAGTCCCATAAATGCATAGTAGCAATTATTTTCATTCTGTCGGGTCGAAAGGAAGCTTAGCCAAGGGGGGAATGGTTTCATATGCATAGTAGCAATTATTTTTGTCCCCCACCACTCTCACCTGCACCAACCCCCCCCATCCACATGTTGTGTCCAGGTTGTCATATTTTAACAGTTTCGTGAATGTAGCCCCATTCAGAAGAGGTTCATAAGCTTCCAGTTCACAGGTCCCGTGATTGTTCTCCTTGATCTTATATATGACTGGATGGCCAAAAGAATCTGAATAATTGACCACCCAGTCGTCACGTCGAACTATTGGTCCCTCCCGCAGAGTGAGCCACCAGGCGATAGGGAGAGCCTCCTTCAGTAGGCGTGTCTTTTCTTCCACATTTTTAACATGTTTAAGTTTGTGTTGCAGCTGGCTAGGAGTTGCCGACTCCCCTCTCGCTGGATCCCACAGGTCACCGACCGTGAAAACACCCTTCTTGGCCCAAATGACCCAGGGAAAATTCGTTGTCAGTGAGAAGGGTTGGCCTGATTCTTGTAATATGTGTGGATTGCCAAAGAGGGGTTGCCTCCATATATCGTACCACCTGTTTGGGGGATATTTTTGTTGGGGACCCCGTCGTCTCCAAAGTCGGATTGTATAAGGCCAGAGTGGATCTGCTGTTATGTCCAACTTTGTGGTCTGAGCTGGGTCATGTAGATGTGCAAGGTGCGCTTGTTTTGGGGACGAAGGGATGGTCCAGTAATTGTTTGTCAGCCATTAGAACGGATGGATCTTTCCAGGTATATCATTTTGTGGAGCAAGGTTGGTTATTTGCAGGCAGGCAAAAGGCTTCCAGGGGATGTCATTTCCAATAAGAAGTCGGACAAAGACTTTAAAAATAAGTGCCTCAGTCTCGTTTTCAGGGTCCAGGATTCCCAACCCCCCTTTGGATCGGGGCTGTGTGAGGAAGTCCCACTTCACCCTGTTGGCACAACCCTAGGCCTTAGTGTTGTTTTTCCACAGATTTGTCGTGAGGGTTTTTTTTAATCTGATGTGTTGTTGTTTGCTCAATGACCATACTGCCAGTGTATACCATATGACAACCAAGATTACACTATTAATTGCTAAGGCACGTCCCACCGGTGATGTATGTAGGCCCTCCCAGTTGGCCAGCCGGTCCAAGGCCATGTTGCGCAGCATGTCCCCATGGTCCGGTGGTGGACCCACGACAATAAGTCTCACTCCAAGTATCCTTATGGCCTCTTCTTAGCGGGCCCATGCTACACTCGACTCAGGAGGGGGTGGTTGTCCTTGAGGATGGAGCCTCCAACCCTCAGTCTTCGAACCCCAGTTCATGTCAGCCGCAAGCGAGAAGAGGTGAATAACATGAGTGAGAGCTTGGACGCTGTCCGGGTCTGCTCGTATTAGTACGGTGAGATAATCCGCAAAGAGTGAAGTCATTGGTATAAGATGGTGCGATATGTCTGGATAAAAAATTTGTTGATACCCGGATGTGCTCTAATCATCGATGCAAGGGCCTCCATAACAATCACAAACAACAATGGTGCGATGAGATCTCCCTGTTGCACCGATTTTTGAAGGTGAATCGGTGGTGAGAGATGCCCATTTAGCATTATGTTGGTCAACGTAGATATGTGTCGCAAGTGCACCCATCGACAAAACACTGGACCGAAATTCATTCTGAGAAGGCACATGTCAAGAAAATCTCAATCAACATGGTTATATGCCTTTTCGAAGTCTATGAAAACGATCGCTGCTTGGACCCTCCGTTGATGGGCATATTTGATAGTCTCATTAACCAACAGGATATTATCATGGATGTCCCGATTGGGCATGAACCCTGTCTGATCCGGATGAATCAAGATATTCATGAGGGGCAGTAGTATGTTAGTAAGAACTTTAGCCACGAGTTTGTAGGGGGCCGGAAGTAGTGTGATGAGCCTATAGTTTCTAATATTCTTTTTATCCCCTTTCTAATAAAGGAGGGTAATGACCCCCTTGCCAATCATTCTTCCCAAGGATCCTTTCTTTTGAGTCGCCTGAATGTACTCCATGATATCATCTTTAAGGAGGTCCCAAAATCCCACCCTGAACTCTTTCGGGAAAGAGTCAATCTCATGCGTTTTCTCATCCTTCATATCATGTAGGGCAACCCAGACGTCCTGTGAGGTTACAGGCTCGTCCAAAGTGACCCTTTGTTGCATTGTTATAGAGGAGCGAATTGCCTGTAGAAGGATCTTTCTCGCTTGATGGACCTCGTCCGGGTGCTTGGTGGGTGTCTCAGATGTGAATAGGTTGTTATCGTATTTAGCCGTGTAGTCCACAATTGAATATGCATTGGTCGCAGACAATGCATTATTGTCTGGCGGGTGGTTAAGCCTGGGAACAGTGGCTGCTCTTATCCTCGCTCTGGCCTTGTTGAAAAAAAATGTTTGTCATTGTCTCGTCTGTGTGTTATCTTTTAATTTTGGCGTGCACCCTCCATGCATGCGCCTGCTGCTCAATATACGACTGGAGGTGGTCTCGGGCCTCTTGCACTTTATCATAGGAGGGGGCAGCAGGTCCTTCATAAGATCTTCATCCCATTCTTCTAAGTCTCGCATGAGACTCTCGAGGCACTCTTTACGGTCTCTCGAATGTTAGATGAAGAACTTTTTTGCTCTTTCCCGTAATTGTGTCAGTCCATCGTTAAACCAATTCACCCTTTCCCCCAAGATGGGTTTCTGGGTTTGCCAATATTTCCAGAAGTCATTAACCAGGTCTTTGAATCTGGGGAGGGGAAGCAAAAATGCATTAAATTTGTAGAACCTCGAACCTCGCTAGATGTGATTGTGGAATGACAACCCCAACGTTATCATCCTATGGTTGAAAGATTTACATGGGCTGATAGTTGTTATTACTGTTGTTATAACTAAGCCCATCATTTCTTTAGATACAGGCATAATGTCTATTCGTGAATTGGCTAGGTCATGCTCGCCCCTCGATGATAGGCAAGTGTAGGTTTTTGGGGCGGGGTGCAATAGTCTATATGCATCTTCAAGCTGTCTGTCAGTCATAAATTGTCTCAGCACGAGAATATCCGGACTAGGGGCGGATGGTGTTGAGGATGCTAAGTCATGGCGTGTAGATGTGGATCTTCGATCGATTGCAGGGTCGAGGGTGGTGTTGAAGTCACCAGCAAGTATAACAGGAGCATCGTTTGGCAAGTGTTAGTGAAGGGTAAGCCAAAGGTTCACCCTAGATGTGGGTCATTTGGGGCGTACACACTGACCAGGTAAAATTATTCACCCTCAAGCTGAAGTTTTAAGCAAATTCATCTACCTTATTGTTGGTCATACTCAACAGCCAACGGTCTGAGTTTTGAGGATCATGGCGGAAACCAGATTGCTACACATGCCGAAGCTCTATCCTTAGCAGGTGTAGAGTATGACATATATGGTCAGATTACTTTTTCTTTTGTCTTATGTGCTGGTGTGTCATGCATATGTATTTCTTGGATACATATTGCATATGGCCATGTCCTTGTCTCCAGGCACCTGATCATATCCCATATGGCATCTTTTTTGGGTGTTGTTGCCTGCATAAGTTTGTTAACATTTAGAGAACGTATATCAAGATCTGCCTGAGCCAATTTTATTGCCCATTGAGGGAAAAACGGGGGAAGGCAGAGAGCATCTAGGAGGCCGGGGAGGGGAGGGGAGGGGGGTCACCGAGCGTGGCGGTTGCTGCTGTGTGGGCAAATGGGATGGGGGGTAGTGATTGTTAGGTTGAATGTGAGATGGCAGTTGCTGCTGTATGAAGGGGTGGAAAGTTGGGAGGTGATTTACACTCCGGGTGTCAGATGCGAGGAGGCTGGGGGGGTGATCAGGAGGGCAGAGCGATTGTGGGAAATCCCCTTATAGGCAGTTCACGGTAGTGACCACAAAGTTCTGACTATGGCCGTTCGAGTCCATTTGGTTGCAAAGATTGTGCATGTTCATTACTGGAGTACCTCAGCCGATTCAAACAACGACTTTTATGGGGAGGACAAATGGTGGGTCATCCCATTGATTGTTTTCATCTAAAACATTGTCCTCCATGAAGATTTGCATGAACCGTAGTACCCTAGTTAAAGTTCACGCAAAGTTGGTTCTGAATCCGTCGGTAGGCAATTCCATGAGCTCCTGGTGGGTGAACCATTTGTGTGTTAATGTTGTTTGTGAGTTGTGGTTTTCAGACTCATGAGCACGATAACCGGGATAACCCCCTCTGGAAATAACAAGGAGTGTGGCAACACAGCTCCTTGTACCCCTTCCAATTGTGATTCCCTTCACCAGTATTTAAGGCGTTTTAGGATGACCGTTGTGGAGGGGTTACCCCTCCATCCCTCTACTATGAGGCCATCTAGATCCGGAGATTGTTGGGGGGGCCGATCTGGGGAGGGTCTGAGTCCCAATACCCACTGTCCCCCTTCCCTCTGTTGTGCTATCGGAAATAAGATTACCCCAGGCAACACTTGCATTGGAGTGTCATCATCATTTCGCAATCTCACACGATCTTTCAGTTTCCCCCTAGGGGGATCGTCAAAAGCCTCTTCATCTGACCCACATTGTGAATCATCCTCATCATCATGCAGTATCTAAATTTTGCGAGGGCGGCGGACTGGGTGTGACTCTATGTTTCTGGCGTCTACGTGTGCCACCTGCTGCTCAGGTTGTCGTGGTTCCGTCCCCCATGTGATGAGTTGGTTTTGTCTTTGTTTCAGTTGCATTGATGTGGTCACAGAAGGACTGTGCAAGGTGGAGGAAAGTTTCAGGACCAGCAGCTTGGGCCATGCCAGCCCTTGGTGAAGAAACGCCTCCTCGTCAGGGGCTGGTCTATCTGGGCTTTGATTGTTATGATGCTGGTCAAATCTGTTTTTAGCGTATTGTTCTATTTTATCCAAAAATTCATTGACCACCAAGACAATTGCCGCACCGATGTCCATCCCGACAATAGACGATATATTGCCGTACTTTTCAACAGTGGCCAGAACCCTCGGAGTGAACATCAAGACTTCGCTGGCATGGGCCAGTATTTGCTTGTGAGTTTGTTATGTGCCAAATGTTACCCCCTGGTCGCGGCCGATCAGGGCGGGGGTTTGCGGGGCGGGGAATGGGTTTCGAGTCGGGGGGGGTCCCCCTACCTCCTCGCAAAAAAAAAAACATAAAAACTTCGAAAACGGGGGGGTGGATTGAGAGCAGGTTAACCGAGCACCCATTTTTCAGGCCCATTTATAAGAAAACCAAACAGTCATTTTAACTTCTTACAACCCCATCACAGAAAAAAACCCTAAGAAAAGCAATTAAAAACATATAAAACAGCAAGCCAAAGGTGCATTTCCATGAAATTTGGCCCAAAAAAAACTCGACCAATTTCAGAAATTTCAGAAATCTTAATAGCGCAAATTCTAAAACTCCAAAATTTGCGCTATTAAGATTTCTGAAATTTTTGAAATTGGTCGAGTTTTTTTTGGGCCAAATTTCATGGAGATGCACCTTTGGCTTGCTGTTTAATATGTTTTCAATTGCTTTTTTTAGGGTTTTTTTCTGTGATGGGGTTGTAAGAAGTGCACTCTATAGATTGGTGTGAAGTGTTGTTAAAATGACTGTCTGGTTTTCTTATAAATGGGCCTGAAAAATGGGTGCTCGGTTAACCTGCTCTCCACAACAGGTTAACGGGGCATCTGGTTTTCAGGCCTGAAATTTCTGAAATTCGGGTTTTGGGCTTTCAGGCCTGAAAACCAGATGCCCCGTTAACCTCTTGTGGGTGGATTTCGAAGACTACCAAAAAAAATTAAATAAATAGAAGAAAAAAAAAATCATTGATTGACTGTTTTTTTTATTATTGATTGATTGATTGATTGGTTGATTGATTGATTGATTGATTGATTGATTGATTGATTGACTGATTGATTGATTAGTTGGTGGGGGAGGGGTCCTCCCTCCACTCCACAGCGCGCGCACCTCTCTCTCTCTCTCTCTCTCTCTCTCTCTCTCTCTCTC